TCGTCTAGGAGAGCAAGATTGCAGCTTCTTTCTCGCGGAATTACCCCATTGGCCCTCGCGAAAAGTTTTTTCGGTGAAACGTAACTTCACTTTGTGGTAAAAGCAAACTGCAGACGTTTATGCATTAGAGAATATCCAAAAATTTAGAAAAAGTAAAATATATATTATAATTTACTTAAAGAACATTGAAATATATATGTGAATAGAATATCTCGTTCAGCGCATAGTGCCTTTTGAAAATATCTAAAATAAATTAATTAAAAAAGTATTTATTTTAGTTTCTACATTAAACGACGTTGATTGCCCGTCAAATTTTATTTCACTCTATTTCCGTGATATATAAGGAACTCGTCTTTGGAACCAGGGGAAGAAATGGGTTGTTCAGGCAAAACTCGAGGTATGAAATTACTCGAGCCGAAATTCGATTTCTCTTGAATGATGAAATCGTTGTTTCTTTTTATCTCTGCATCTTTTGCATCCTCTTCCCTCGAAGGATATAAATCCCACGCGAAAACGAGGAAACACATTGACACAACGAGAGACTCTAAAGACAATAACGTATAGCAATAACGTATAGCATCGTTCGATGAGCATCTTTTGATCTTTACGATCGATCGATCTCAACCATTCTCCGAATGGTTCGGGGAGAAAAAGGGCGGGGAAATCTCTGTTTGTAAGTGGAAAAACGATCCTCTTGGAAGTTCGTTGAATTTTAAGATCGTCCGGGTCCGTGAACGTGAAAGAGGCAAGGCTTCGAGGGAAACTTTGTCGATTGCCGCGGCGCGAAGGGTTATTGCATTGCAAAATTGTTTTCGGAACTTCTTTATTGACTGAAAGTTGGAGGCATTCCATTATTGCAGCTCGTATGCATGATTTTTCTTTGCGCCTCGATCTTCGTGTTCCTAGGAGAACTTTCCTAGAATCGAGCAACGATTCTCGATCTCGATTGTTTGATTTTTCAAGATAAGTAATCGTATTTTTGTGTATGTGTGTGCTATCGACAGGTTAAATTATACAGAATATAGCGAAAGAATTATTAGACTGTTGCATATGATATGATCAATTTTAGGTAACTATGCGAAAAGTGATGTTGAATTTTATTTGTTTCGTTGTTGTTTATTTTAAAATTTGAAGTTGGATGAATTGACAATTTGAATATTGTTACAATGAAACAAATTATACATTGCGACGAATTGTATATTTCAACGTTAAATTTTTACACGGATTTAAAATTTATTGTAACATAAAAAAAGTTGCTGGTATAACATTAATAGAATTTTTGAAAAGATCGCATCAAATAATTTGTAACTGATTTAAGAAATTACAATTGATACGATGAAATTACAAATTATTAACGGCAATCAATCAAGTTAATCAAATCAATTAATTATAATAATTTTAACTTTGCTTATCATTGGATGCGATATGTATTGATTTTATCGAGTCAAATTTTTAATTATCATTTTTAATAAAACTAATAAATACGAAAAATTCTTATATTGAGAATCGTTTCGTTTCCAACAACTTGATATTAAAATTCTTTTTTTCAATTTGATAAACCTTCATATTTTCATAAAGTATATCATATAATATGTATACCATATAAATAGGATTAAAAATATCGATTAAAACATTTTCAAATTTCGCGTTATATCGGTACGACGGTAAAGAGATCGAGGACAGACTCGAGTTGACAGGATAATTGACTCGGTCTAGTTGCAGATAGTTTTAAACCGATTAGAAGTTCCGAAACGAACATAGAGACGATTTACACATAGAAGAATGATCGAGTTAACGTTTGGGTTTAGCGATTACATACTCGAGACGTTCCCTAACAATGAAAATGATATTAATATGCAGCTCGTTTCAACACGTAACGAAGTTCATCGAATTCGAATCGAGCTTAATCTTTATACATCATCGAGATACAATTAAATCAAATAAAAGGATATTCCGAAACGTCAAACCCCATCGATATCTTATTTTCTCTTAAATGCATCAACATCCAATATCCATTCTTCCGAATAGAATTATATATTCCACAGAAACTGTTTCATTCTCAAATGTTAATCGTGTGACGTACGTGTTTTCATTTTTCATTATACGATCGTTAAACTGTAACGATCGTTTCGAAAAGAAGAAATAAATCGCACGATAGCGATCCAAGGAAACAATGAATATTTATGAGTATTTCATCAAGTCGTCAAACAATAGCAATAGTTGAAAGCATCTTCCCTGTCTCCGTATTGAACGCGGATATATAAATTTACAATATTTCCTATATATATATATGTTTATTCCAAAAAGAATTCTTCTCTTCTCGATATTGATTTATCGCAAATTCGAATCACGGGAGATGTAATAAGTTAACAATATTGGTGGATGTCATTGGATCCATGTGACCATTATCCTGGCGTGGATGGAGCAAAGAGTTATTGGTTCACGCAATCCTCCGAACGCAATTGGGTTGCACGGTAATGAATTTAAAATGATAACCGGCCGCGTACAGGCCGGAGAAGGGGAGGATGTGTCCACGATACGTGAAACATTTATTATGAAATAACAGTGACATTTAAGTAATTAATTCGCCGCGTTGACGTTCGGTTCGTCGTCACGGAAATATATAACATGGAATAACGTTACACGTCCTAACCTGTATCGTTATCCCGATAAATCATTTTTTTTTAAACGTTCATTTGATTCTTTCCCACTTTTGCTATTCCTATTTTTTTTATTTCCTTTTAAAAATAATCTTAATCGAATATGTATATATATATATATAGATTCAATTGTTTACATTTGAAAATGAAACAAGCTCTTGCTCACAGTTTCTTGATATTTATCGTGGAAATTTCATGCTTATATGCGTTAATAATAAATGAAAAATTGCATCGTAAACTCGTATCGATGTCCCGGCTTTATAAGGTGATCAAGAAAAGTCATCGTGCAATGACCCGAGCGAGATAAGGTCCGCGTCCAATTTTCAACAGCGGCACCATGGGATCGCGGCATCTTTAACGTTGTTGGCGTAGCCAGCACGGCTGAAATATCGTCTTGTAAAATATGAAACTGGCCGAGTTCCATCGTCGACGTTACGTCGGTCGTATGTCCGCCCCAAAGAGAAATAGCTACATCGTTTCTCGGTTAAAGGAAGAATGGAAAGGCAAAAGAACAACAGGCATCGCGACCTTTTCTTCTGTTATCTATCTATTCTATCCCTGCCTCTTCGATCGTCGCGTTTCTAGATTTACTAGAAAATTCTTCTCGATGTTCCTCCATCGGCTCGAAACGAAAATATCTGTTGGATCGAGAGACGATTCCTCGAGAAATCGAGTTCCGTCTACACACGAAGTGTATTTCACTCTTACGAGATAACAGTTATTTCCAACTCCAGTTCCATCGATATTAATATCACAGTCTATATTATCATTTGCTTTAAGAAAAAAACGTTACACTTTTTTGAGTGGTATTTACAAACCAGCGGTAAATACAAGTTCCCCTCTAAGTTAATTGCACGATAAATATGCGATGCGATATAATCATTACGCGTTAATCATCACGTGAGATCACGTACGGTCCGAAATTTTGTTCCTGAGAAAATTTATCCTTATCGACGCACGTGGATGCACGTAACGCTTTGTTGTTATCCTTACCTGTCAACTTATTCTGAATCTCTTGCAAGGACAGTCCCTTCGTCTCTGGCACAAGGAATACGGTGAACGGTATGCACGAGGCCACGAGCAAACCGTAGAACAAGAACAAGTATTTCTCGGTCATAAAATGAAGAAGTGTTAAATAAGTAAGCGTCGAGAGGAAAGCGATCGTAGAGCCCGAGATACTGACGATGCATGCAGCGATGCACTTGAGATGAGGAGGGAAAATTTCACCCATCATCGTGGATGGGACGAGAATGATGCCCATAAACACCGATACGTAAAATAATATCATTCCAATGATCGCCAATCCTTCCACTTTTCCCGAATCGAAACCGAAATCCAACAAATGAAATTCAAGTGTCAGAATACTGTAAGACAGGAGGATCGCGCTGCAGGACGCGATCATGAGAAATTTCCTTCCGAATATGTCCAGCAGGAATATCGATAAACACGATGCAACAACACCACCTGCCATCACTATTATCACCACTTGCGCGGGTTCTATAACACTGACTTTGGCCGTGGTTAAAATCGACTCCATGTAAAATAGAATACTGTTTATCCCGGACAATTGACTGTACACGATAAGAATCGAGACTATGAATATTGACTTTCGATAATGAAGAATCTTGAGTTCCTTCAAAGTGTCCGACAACGATTGTCTATTGAGATTCTCGACGAATATTCGCATCTCCTTGAACTCGTGCTCCACGTCGCAGTCCCTGTGATACCATTGGATCGAGTGTTTCGCTTTCTCGTCTAAATTTTTCTTTATCAAGTGGTAAGGCGATTCCGGCAACCAGACGAAAATGATTATCATCACGATGCAGGAAATTAGAGCTATCAAAGCCGATGTGTACATCGGCAAGTACGCTCCCATGACGCTCATTAGGAGGTTGCCGATTGGTAATCCAGTGGTACCCATTGCGACCAACGCTCCTCTTATACCAGGATTCGCTATTTCGCCCAGATATAAGGAATAGCAGGAGTAAACCATTCCCAGGCTGAGGCCACCAAGGAATCTCGCGATGTATATCCATTCCACTCTGTTAGCCAGGATGATGAAGAGCCAGCTCAACGTGATAGGCATACTGGAGATCAGAATCGTCTTTTCACTGCCAAAATAGCCGCTGCACAGAGCACCTTTGATGCAGCCCGTCAATCTGCCGAGATTGAACAGCGATACGACCCAAGATAGTTCTGACATCGTGATTGTGAACGAAGAATTCGGGGATATTAATTCGCTGATGTACGGAGAGGACCAACCTCCCATCAATCCCACCTCGGTTCCTAATAACAAAACTGCAAACAAATTCGACGTTGGTCGATTTTCTCGTATCGGTTGGATTCGAGATCGTTACGGTCCAATTAATAATATTAATTTACCTCCAAACCCGGCTATCCATTGGGGCCAAAGTATTCTTTTGCTTCTTAATTTTCCATCTATTGCCATGGTCATGGTGAATGTTCTGAAGAGACAAAGTGTATGATAGACATAATGTTTGCATCAAAATTATATACCTTTGAAAATAGTTAAAGTATATTTGTGAACGTAGATAAGATAAAGAAGAGCGTATCATCGTACAATAGAAATTTCTACAGAACAATTTCCAAATCAGTTTTTATCCTTAAGTTAACACAGGTTTTTAAAGCGAATAGTTTTGTTTGTGAATTTATGTTTTACGATGATTTTATGCGAAATAGCGCATCTTTGAAATAGCATCGTGATTCCAAATTCTTTCGTTTGAACGCGAAATTTTTTTCTTTTTTTAAGTGTCAATAAAAGTCGAAATAACAAACCTGATAATTCGAGAGATGATGTAATTTAAGGCTTTTCTTAAGGAAATAGTTCGTGTTGTGTTTTCTTCCATATTTGATACGCGGAGAAACGAGACGAAGATATTTGATTCAACAAAATAAAAATATAAATCTTTCTGGTTTATATACTGATACGTGTTTCGTAAAGTGGGGATATAAATTTCTGTTACGAATAACGGAAATGTGTTTACCAATCTTATCGGCAATGACATTACTTGTTCGATACTTACGATTCCGAAATTGTTTAATCGTATATTGTTATAACGTTTTATTCTTAAACGAAGCGTTAGATCAACAAGAATAATTTTTATCCTTTTTTTGGAGAAAAAAGGAACAGTTGCATATAAGTATATAGTTATATATAGTTTTAATGTTTTAAGTTTATCCAGTAGTTTAAATAGTATTTTCAAAGTTTTAAATATATTTTGGAATCAATGTAAATTTGAATTTAAAAAGGCCTCTATAATTTACGTACAGTAATTTTTTTAATATTTATGTACAATTTTATATTTTTAATTATAGATACTCATTAATTTCTCTTTATTCTAGTTTTAGACGAAATATAGTGGCGAATATATGGTAAACATTGTCTTTTGACATCTCGTGATAAGATAAGATAATTGCAACATTAAAATGTCTGGTTTTTTCAAACGTATTATACAAATCAGTAATAGTGAAATAATATTTCTTAATCGTTTTCCATTATATACAATATACAAGTATCCATAATTGAGAGTAATTAAAAGCATTTATTGAGATCATTAATTATTTATACGATATTTTATTCATACAAAATTTATAGACAATTTGCTATCGAGCTGCTTTTGTTATCTCTTTCTCTTTTGAACTTTTCTTTCCTTTCTGCCTCTCCTGTAGCATCTCTTGTATTTCCTGTGGACATTGTATGGATCATTTAGTGTCTTGACAACTATTGTTTATTGGAATTAAAACAGATTTCTATCAATCTCATTATCCACGAAATTTTTACAAAAACTAATTTAGAAATATTTTAGTATTGCATTAGCAAAGATTCCACGATTATTTTATACAGAAAGCTTTCATTTTAACTATTTCTTTATCACAAATCAGACGATACGCTAGTAAAACTAATTGGAATTAAATTAATTCAAAAAATTACCTGCAAAGTCTTCCCTTTGGTCTCCGGTATTTCCGCAAACGAATAAATCATGCACACAATCATGACCATCGCGTACATCCAGTAAACGTATTTTTCGCTCGTGAGATCGATCATCGGCTGATAGGTTGCGCTGGAGACGAACGCGAATAACGCGGATGTGATGCTCACGGCGAATCCAGCGATACTTTTTAAATCATCCGGGAAAAACTCGCTGAGTATAGTGCTCGGAACTGGTATCAGACCGATAGATATCATCACGTAAAATATCATGGCCAGGATCGGCAACCATTCCAGATTTTTTGAGTCGAAATTCTGTTCCAATAACATAAAGTGTAATCCCAGTAGCACCATTCCGATGATTACGCAGCCGCATGACACCGCCATGAGAACCCTTCTGCCGTATCGATCGATCAGATACACGCTGATCCAGCCGACCGCTATACCTGAAATGCGTGATATATATATATATTCCCTCAACGATCGAAATATGTCCAAAAGTTAAAGAAGAATATCCGAGTTTTCCTAATATCGATGGAAAATAAACCAGAATGTATCTTTCTCGAAGCTCAACAACGAAAAGGAAATCTGATATATACAAAAGTATGTATACTTTTAATCTTTTTAATGAAATTTTGCAAATGTACGACAATTTTTTCCGATTGATCGAAGGTTGTATAAGATGCGATACCGATTCCATTGACGATAATCACAATAGTGGCCGGTTCCAGTATCGTCACTTTCGCCTTCCTGATGATAATTTCCATGTAGTACGTGACAGTGTTTACCCCGCTGAGTTGCATGAAGATGTACAGAAAGATGATCAAAATCAACGACCGTCTATTCTTCTTCTCCGTGATCTGTTTGAGTTTGTGGCGGAAGTTCATCGACCCGGAGGATCGCACAAAGTTCTCGATCACTTCCAGTTCCGCGTTCACGTTCGATTTCCGATGGTACCATTGAATAGTTTTCCTCGCCTCGGTCGAATTATTGTTGCGCACGTAGTGATGCGGCGATTGAGGCAACAGCGGGAAGATCATCACGAAGCAGATGGCCAAAGCCAGACTTACAAGCCCGAAACACATCATGGACACTTGACTGCCCATTATGCTCCCGATCAACGTCCCGAACGGAAGTCCATTTATTATCGTGCTTACCAGGGCGCCGCGAATTTCGGGTGCCGCCACCTCGCCCATGTACATGGCGAAACAACCGTAGAACATGCCGAAGCACATACCTGGGAAAATTGTAGGAATGATCGGCGCATCTGGGAAATCGAGCAATGATGATTTACCTGCGCAAAGTCTAGATACGTAGAGCCAGACAGCCGAATTGGCGAATATTATACAAATCCAGCTGATCATGATAGGTACACCCGAGATTAACAGAGTTCTTTTGCTGCCGTAATATTCCATAGCTAGGTAGCCAACCATGGCGCCGAATAATCGTCCGAACGGAAGCAGGGAGACTATCCATGTCGCCTCGTCATCGGTCACGCGCAGTGGCGAGTCTTCTTTGGTCAATTGGGCCAGGTAAGGGGACGTCCAACCGATCTTCAATCCCACACTGATAGACAATAGGGTCACTATGATAAAATCCTCAATTGATGTTGCATCGACGTTGTTGTATTATCGCGGGGAACGATTGCAACGATTGCGTAATTTCGTTCGAGATATAGTTATCTGGTCGCGAAACAGATCTGATCGTAATGCAACGTAAGCACACAGGAAGAGGATTACTAACCTGTCACGCAGGTGGCCCACTGGGGCCACACGCGAACAAAAGTTTCTGTCACCTTCAGCTTCATATCGGTGCAACGTGCGCGAGATAGAGACCGTTTCTAAAGACTGTGCTGACTCTCATCACTCCTGCGAAGTATCCTGTCATCTGATTGATTTACGGTTTCCTGTTTTCTCAATAGTTCTCGAATCTCGCAAATATTTGAAGCTTAGAATCTCGAGAACAGTGACACGATCCGTCACCAAGAAGATTTTGCTATCAGCGATTTGGGAACTGTCTGCATCTGCGTGTAATATTTCAATCGAGTTTTTCTCCATGTCGAGTACGCTTCTTAAACGAATTAAACAACTTTGTGTGTTTAAGAACTCTGCGCGAGAACAGACGGTCTCTTTAACGATCGTATAGACGCAAATTGTGGATGAACAATCGTTGAATCGAGGAGAGGAAGATTAATATTTTTCCAAAAAAAGAAACTTATTTGGTTTGAATTCTATTTATACGTATTTATGTACGTAATTTTTTATATCTTTAGGAAAGAAACAGAAAGATCTAATCGTGTTCTAATTGCTTTTAGTTGTCGTTCCAACGATCGTATCGATTTTAGCATGGAAATTTGCTTTTTCGCGTTACCGATAGAATGGGAAATTGAATTTTTGCCAAAATACAATCCCTCGTGCAATTTCATTAAACGGAAAATAATATATGCATTATACGTTCATTATATACAATTAAGTTTATAAATTGCATGATCGAGAGAGAGAGAGAGAGAGAGAGA